CCCCCCCCCCCCCCCCCGGTGAGGGGGCTGTCACCCTCTCTGGTAGCCTAGCATTGTTCATTTTAAATTTGGATTTACAGGTGCAATTTGTGTTTTGATTGATGGGACCTGAAAATTGAGTTGCTAAAATTCGGATTTTGGAGTCAATTCATCGTTTGGTCACTTCAGCACCACCAGAATTATCTCACCCATCCATCCACTCGTTAACATGTTGCAATGTGTGGATATGATGATGACAAATCATGGAATTGATAATGACATGTAAATTAATGGAGTCTGTGATTGCACATCACACGTGAAGAATATGCGTACAAAGTGTCAATAACAAGTAAGAAAGGGTGTTGACTCAGCTCCACAGGGCTATGAAAGACAGCTACAGAGCACATTGCATCCAAGGTGAGAAAGGGGTTACCGAGCTAGAAAGCCCGACCATTGCCATGGAGGGTCAAATTTTATAGGTTAATGCTCGTTATTTATGGGAATGCGGCAAGATACTCAAGTTCTAACTAGAAATTATGATTCACGTAACACCAAGACACTCAACACGACAAAGACCAAGAAGTGAGCTAGAATGCATCATCTTAGTTGTGCAAGCAAACACGGTCCTACAAGAAAGGAACAAGCTCCGTAAAAATGGGAGCTTCCTCTTTTAGGATCTTTTATGCACTCCCAAGCATGCTCCCTCAAAAATATGACAAAGAAACAGTCCCTTGTGGTCGTGTTTTGTGTAAATTTAGGCAACCAAGGATGATAAACCAGTAGTGTTTTTTCGGCTATTTGAAGACGACAATTTTGTTAATTGATACCATACAATAATATCTACTCCATCTTAACAAATATACCCTCCTAGATATGAAAGCTTATACCATTTCACATCGTTTTAAGACAATATTTAAGATTGTCAACACACAACAGGTGTTAAGGACGGACTACCAAAGCTGAAGTTAATGAAATGAATGGAATTATCCTTTTCTTTCCCTCTTACATTACATGAAAAAGATGTTATCTGTTACAAAACAAAATTGTGGTGAAGTGAAACTACATCTAATTTTACACTCAATTAGAACGAAGAGCATATCAGCTTAAAGCAATAACATAAAAAAACCAGAAGTTTATGCATCTACCATCTCAGCACTGTTCAATTTCATCTCGGACCTCGTTATAGTCTCTGGTTAGGATCTATTAGATCTTCAACTTGAGCTGAAAAATCACACGGTCAGTTGTGTAAGGATCAGGAGATGCACAGCATTACTGCCACTAACTGGTATGCAATTGACCACAGCTGAGACAAACAATTCCAGAATGCATGAGCAAGCAACTACTGCACCCAAGGGGTGTGTGATAAGCAAAGGATCCAGCAATTACACCAGTATCCATCCCAAGTGCAAGATGCTGCTACATAATCAACAGGCTTTGCTTCTCAAGAGAGAGGAATTGCTGTCAGGTATTGCTGGATGAACACAAATTAATAAGGAATGACATATGGCATCGCATAAACATCGGTTGACTCCACATGCATAGCTTCAGACCACACGCAGTGTTCCTGATTCATCTGATCAGAACCCACCTCAGGCTTCTCTGACGGAGGATCTTTCCTGCTAAACAACCAGTCCTGGTCGTCAAATTCAGACCACTCCATCTTGGGTACTGTAAGTACCACACTCAGATACTTGGAATCTGGATGGGGAGGTTTCCTTGATGCTTCAGCAATTTGATCCTCCAACTTGGGAACTGTGAGTGCCTTGCTCATACACTTTTCAGGGTCGGGAGGTTTTTTTGATGCTTCCGCAATTTGATTAGTAATAATAGTTGCAGTAGAAGTCTTTGGTTTGGAAACAGACAATTGCTGGGCTTCAGTTATACCATTTACCCTCTGGTCCTTTTTACCCAGTCGAACGTTCTCAGGAATCCCCTGCTGCTTATCAGAAGTAGACAGGTTGGGAGTTCGGGCGGCGTCCATTTTTCTCCCATTCTCAGTCAATTGATGAGAAGCTTCCTTCAGCAATTTATTAGGCCTGACTTCACTCTCTGTGAAACAAGTAACACTATCAGCCAATAAAAAGGTTAAATAGAGTAGACAAGCTTGTACAATTCATTGCAACACTGAATTCAAGACAGGTTCAACCCAAAGCATTCTAAAGATACCTAGTATGTCAGGCATTACCCACCCAGAGCTTTCTCATTATTATCTTCTCAATAGTAGGAAATAAACAAATATTTTTTCAAATAGTTGCAATTATGCTAATTCTTTTCATTGTAAGACAGGACTCACCATGGATAAAACAATTGCTACCCAAATCTTTTCTTTTCCTCATATTTCCCTCATTAACAGCATTGCTGTTGAAGTCTTTCACCATATGCATGCTCTTATAACTAGAAACACCAATGAGGTCATTCATGCGTTGATCTTTCGATACATCCTCCTTGGTTTCCTTATCTTCAATTTTTTCCTTCACCTTCACCCTTTTCTTTTCTTTTTCCTTACCTTCGTTTTTGTCCTTTCTATGGCTATGTTTCTCTCTTTCTTTATCCTTACGACTTTCTCCCCTCTTAATATCACCTTTTTCTTTAGATTTCTCTTTCCCTTCCAATCTCTGGTCACCGTGTTGCTCCACCAGACTGGGATCATCGCCTTTTTCTTTAGATTTCTCTTTCCCTTCAAATCTCTGGTCACCCTGTTCCTCCACCAGTCTGGGCATCCCTCCAATTTTATATTTGGCCATTCCAGATAAGTTCCATATTGGCACACTGGTCTTTCTGTGAACTCCATTATCTTTGTTCTGTCCCTTGTCATCTGCCAATAATCCCGAAGAATCTCTCACAGCAGCTCTTGCTGCATCTTGATCCCTTTTGCACACACCTGAGACCCTCTCAAGTAACTGGCTCACTGATTCCTTCTCATGATTTCTGATCGTAGTGTTCGGCTCCAATGCAAACTTTGATTCCTTGAGATCCAGGGAAACAAGGTTGTTTTGAATAGGTTTCCCTCCATTCTGAACCTGAAACTGTGTAGCATGTTTCACTTCATCCAAGGAACTTCCTGTAGCTTTGTTATGCACTGTTGGACGAAGCCTCTCTTCACCTTTTCCCTCAATTTTCCCAGCAACAGTGGACTCCTCAGAGATGCTGCTTTTCTCTTTATCTTTGCTTTGGTCCTCCTCATCCTTCTTCTTGTTCCTGTGTTTATCCTTCTTGTCTTTGCGTTTTTCTTTTCGGTTTCTTTTGTCTCTGTGTTTCCCTTCACTTCTATCCTTTTCCCTTTTCTCTTTACCTTCTCTGTTTTCCTTGTCTTTCTTTTCCTTATGCTTTTTCTCCTTGCGCTTCTCCTGAATATGCATCAATACATTCTACACAAAATCATCTTCAAATTTACTAAATAAAACAACTATAATCAAAATAACATCTGATATTAGAAGACAAAATCATATAAATCATAGTTGACGATGAATGCCTAATGAACATGATCACTCAACAGGAATTTTATGGGAAGGGATTCGTAAGATGAGTTTTAAAACTCCCAATCAAAAGTCAAATCCATTGTCCATACAAAAAATCTCAGAATTTTCATACATATACTCCAAATGCAAATCACCCCAATCAACAAACTTCAAGAGACTAATGCAGATTCTTGCTCCCTCCCTCCACCTTGTACAGTTCCAATGACCACTTCCCACATGTAAGCTGTGGCATTAATTTATCATTCATTGAAATCAAAAGTAGAAAAAAACCAGCTATATACTCACACATAAGAAAGGTTAGGTCATGAAGAATGGGTGTAGATGACCACAAAATTAAATATATTACTATTAAGCACAGGATTCCAATTCCACGGCTAGATGAGATGCTCGACCAACTAGTTGGCTCAACATTACTTTCCAGATAGGCTTGAGCTGTGGTTATCACCAAATTTGACTTAGGAGTGGAAATGAGTGAAAACTATGTTCCAGATGGACTATTTGAATTATTTGTGATGCCTTTTGGTCTTTCCAGTGCACCCAACACTTTCATGTGAGTGACGACAGGGTATTACGAACTTTCAATGAAGCTTTATTGGTTTATGTTGACTACAAATAAATTTACAATCATGGCAAAGACAAGCATACAAATCATATCAGACAAGTCCTAGATGTTATGAGACGTGAGAAATTTTATGATAACTTGAAGTGTTCTTCCATGAGCGACGAAGTGGTTTTGAATATCATTATAAGACTTTAAGCCAGATCTTTATAAGATCAACATAATTTAAGTGCGGGTGCAATAATGAGCCATATCAATGAGGCTCGAAAGAAGAGACTTCACCCAATTGAAGAGAGTTATGACACAAGCTCCAATTTATATAATGTCAGATTTTGATACACTCTTTATCGTGGAGTGTGAGGATGTGGGGATAGAAGGTGTTATAAGTCAAGAAGGAAAACATGTGGCTCTCTCTCTCTTTGCCAAATTTTTTTCACACACTATGCCTAGGCTTGAGCTCTTCAATATTGGTTTACTATTTGTTAATTGGGATTTTTTGTTTGTACCAATCATGTGGCACTTGGATATATGAGTTCACAAAACAAACTCAATATAAAACATGATGAATGATATTCTTTTCTTTAACAATTTTCATTCTCATTGAACGTGTAAAGCCAAAGAAAGTAACAAAGTGGTTGATGCACTTAGGAAAGGATTTGTCATGTACTATTGGTCAACATATGATTTGGACTTTCATGCCTAGGTTTGAACTCTTCAATATTGGTACACTATTTGTTGCATTGGGATTATTTGCTGGTACCAATTACGTGGCACTTGGCTATACGAGTTTACAAAAAAAAAAAAACAAAAAAAAAAAAATCACGACGAATATGGAAATCTTTTCTTTAACAATTTTTATTCTTCTTGAACGCACAAGGCCAAAGAAAGAAACAATGTAGTTGATGCACTTAGCAAATGTAGTTACTCACCAACTACAAGGCATGCTCGAGTAATAGGATTTGACGAGTTTAAGAATCAATATGAAGAGGGTTTTTATTTCAGTGAGGTAATTAAAAGGTAAGAAATTTCTACAAAATGAACTTAGATATCAGAAGAAGAGCTCAAGACAGTTGATCCTACCACCACCAAGTGATATATGCAAGTTTTCTTGTTGGAGTGAGATGTATTCAGATGCAAGAGTTTAATTTTCTAAATTCTTCTCGGACTAGTATTCTTATTCATATTACACTAGATTTGAATTGGTTAGCTATTAGGCTTTATTTGGGCTCTTTAAGTATTTCTTTTAGGTTCCAAATATTACTAGGATTGCTTTCCTATCAATTTAAGTTAGAATAGGTATTTTGAGTCTTAAAGATTTGACAGGCCATACTGTTCTAGAAAAATAATAATTGAAAAACTACGGATCTGTTTGGTTTGTGTTTCCATTTTCAGTTTTGAGTTTGAGGTCATCGGTTTTTGGCTTTGAGGGTCTGTTTTGGTATTGCTAAAAACTTGTTTGGTTTGTCATTTTAAAAAAATTACTTCTCAAAACCAAAAACTAAAAACACATTTGGTTTGAAATTTTGAAAAATTGTTTCTCAGTTTGCAGAGATTTAAGTTTAAAGAGCTATATCTCTAGCAATTAGCATTTACTTCAATTTCTAAACATGCTTTGTTCTTTCAATTTCTTCCATTATTTGTTGGTTAAAGTTCGTTCAATTAGAACCACTATAAGAATTAAGAAATAACTATTTTACTTTTCTATGATGCCACTACGAGCACCATCATCTTTAACCATATCAAGATGTGTAATAAATGATGACAATCCACCAGTCCCACCAGACCAAAACCGATGATTGTCTTATTTTGTTACAATGGCAAAAGATGACAGTGACCCTTCTGCAAATTTAACTTTTCATCCGTCTGAACAGAGGGTAAAGGAAACAAACAAATTTGAATGACTAGTCATGTGATTTGTGGCTCTGTGGAATCAAATGATACTTGAATAGCTAGCACCATTTAAGCAAGTTGAGTGAGCACATGCATTAAAGGACGAGATATTTGCTTGGTGAAGCTGAACAAAAAGGAAGCACGACTAGTTTAGAAGGTGATTGATAAATACGAATCAGATGACAGATGATAGTTCAATTACATTGAAACTGTCCGAAATACGCTTGAAAGAGTCGAGAAATGTTCTACACTTGTGCAAAATGGGAGAAGAAACCAGTATTGAGCTGGTTTAAATGGAGACAAAAACAATTGAACCAGACTGAAATACATCTAAACCAACCTAGAAACCATTTGAATCAGATAGGAAATAGGTTGAAGTGGATTGCTAAACTGTTATGAAAGTGGAGTACTCTATAATATCGAAACTTCTTTTAATTAATTAAGGCCACAAAGAACAAAATTCTGGCGTAAGACAGCCTTAAGACCATCACAGTTTGGGCCACAAAAGAAATTAAGGAGGCGTGCTATGAGACCATGATGAATTTTGTACAATTTCATACATTTCATCGAACAATCCTAAAGGCTACAGTAACAAATATATTTCATTGAACAATTATAAAGAAAGCCTACAAACTTCTTAATATTTCTCCTATAATTATACCTTAGTATCTCCTCTAATTATGCCATAATCTTTCTCCTATAACTATGCTAATAGATCAACTATACAATACAGGAATTCAACTATTTTCCACAACTAGCTTAGCCATAACACAAGCCAAGAGTTGCAAAATATGTTCAAGGTCGAATCTTTCTTATACTCATAAGCGAAGCTCGAGCTTTAAATAATATTTAAAGCCCTATGGAATCATAAAGAGCAACACTGTACCACAAGAAAACCATATTTTTCAGTGACATCAGTTGACCAAATGTATGTTAAACTGCTCCATTTGACCAAGTTTGGGGATCACGAGTATTTTAGAAAATTCATATTTGCTAAATATAATAATTTTTTTTTTTATAACCGTGGATATCCGGACTAACTTGCACGCACCTCGACTAATCTCACGGGGCCTGAAGTTTACGGCCGGATACTCACCTCAGTGGCCCTGAGGGGCTCGAACTAGTGACCATTGAGGAGCAAACCCAACTAAATATAATAATATTATCGCCCCAGCACTCTACTTTGGAACGTTCTCTTTTTGTCTTATCAATTTTTAGAATCAGTTCATTGTTAGTTGGATTCAAATTGGAAGTTCCTAACCCATCAGGTCTAAGGTTTCATGAAGTCTATATTGAAGTGCAGGTACTCCATAAATGCTAAATTATCACTCAATTCACCTAGTTTAACCATCCTTTTCTAAGTTCGTAATCCCGAACTCACAGTTGTTCTAAGAACCCATAGCAACATTTCCATGTCAATGGTCCAGAGCACCGAAATAGCACTTGAAAGTTGAAACTTGTCATCTTTCTATGTTTCTTTTAAATTATTTTGGTTGTAAACCATACACATCTAAAACGCTTTCTTCTAACCTCATCCGTGTATTCCTACTTTCAAATGAATAAATAAATAAATATAATTTAATCAACTAATGATTAACCTCTTTAGCGCACTTTGATGTCAGCTCAACATCTAGGCCAACATTAATGTCAGACTTAAGGGCAAATATTAACACAATGCACCAGCAAGAGGACATACTAGAATTTAACAAACAAGAGTTGAGTTATTCATCAAAGACATATAGTCCTTTATTCGCTTCCTTTTTCTTGTTATGTTAGGCTTGCTACAAATCCAAGGGCAGGAACGGATCTAGGACTGGACTACAAGCCGGGCTAATATGTATAAAAAAAAAAAATTCACCAAAAAAATGAAGTGGGCTAGGGTCTAGACCGGGATACATTCACCTAGCAAAATTAGTAATAAAATAAAGTTCTATCTGTACGGCATAGGCAAGCATTCATGGACTGATGGACATATCTATCCAACCAAGTAAAAATGCAACGGTCAATAACCTGGAAGCATCCATCCAAACAAACTAACAAATTCAATAAGCACTTGCAGCTCAATTAAATCAAAACATCAAAAAGAAGGCACAATAGTGTTAGGTAGCGAACTAGCGCATAACCTAAAAATTCGGGGGAAATAGACTTAATTATCTATGGCTTTAAGCCACTAACATCTGGAAAGAGAAAATTGAAATGGGTTCAACTTAGAGATGACAACAACAGTAACAAAGCTCTAAAAATTCATATATATACATATATATGTTGCATTCAAACATATCTAGAAACTGTGATGGAAATGTCCCGTAAGTATAATGGCAGGAGAAAACTAAACAAACCTCTCTCAGTACGTCCAAATTTTTTGATTGATGCTTTCTTTCATATCCTGGTGGTGGAAATGGAAAGCAGCGAGACATTGCACACAATCCTACAACAAGCAAAATGATTACTATTGTGAAAACAATATGAATGAATTATTTTCTCACAATAGCAGTGTTCCAATATGGGAATGGAACAACAATTATGTTTCTCTCTATGCACCATGACCCCACATTGAGTTCAAGCTTCAATACTATTATCTCCTCTATACTGGCAAGCCCCCAAAACCCACTTCTTTTAACTCATATTTCACACCAAATGCATGCTACAATACCGCACTGACTTATATACACCTCAATATTAGCTCCATTATGCAATTGCCGTGTCAAAGAACTGATCAAACTCAACAGCAATTCCCAAAACAATATAAGTAGCAATAAAATTAACACTAGTTTAACCAATCACTAGATAGGAGAAACTTAAATTGCAGCTTTTGCAGTTAAACCGTCCCCAGAAACTAAGTTAAAACTAAGTTAATCCACTAATAATTGATACGGGTCAGTCTACCAAGCCATTGACACTCAATAATCATTACCTTCTCCACTTTATCACCAAAATTTAACCCCAAAATCATCCCCACAATCGATCAAACTGCAACAAAATGGTGGAAACCCTAAATTGTACTTCAACTCAAAATTACCATATTTCCTCTCTGTTTTTCTCATTCCTACCTCGATCGCTGCCTTAAAATTTATATAAACAGTCCTCTTCCATTCCCTTTAGAAAACAATTATTCATGCAATTGCAATTCTGGAAGTCAAAGCCGATTTGAAGATTGGTTCATCAGAAGATAAAAGGAAAATCCCTTTAATTTTTGCGATCTTGAGAGTAGTGTTGTTTCTGGAAAAGTCCTTACCATTCAGAATGTCAATTGAAAATCCTAGACAAAATCCACCATCAGCACAACAATCTCTCAGCACCAAAAACCCCAAATTCAAAAGAGACCCAGATAAAGGGAGGAAAAGAAAATCCGCCCCGATTAAGAAGCAGCTAATTTGACGGAATAAAATAGCGGATTAGCAACATTTTAGCAAAACTCCAGAAAAAGAAATTCCTTGTGAAATCAAATCGAAAAATGTCCGAAGCTCAGAAAATCAGAGTAAAGACAAATCAATAATTGAAGTTTGGTCGAATTAAATTAAGTTAAAAACTAACACACATTAAATTTATCTATCTTATTACCTTGCCCGCTACAAATTGGAGTGTATTTGTAGGAAGGGGCAAGATCTCAGTTTTTTTCTTGACAATAATATCAACTAAATCATAATATCCTCGAACCCACTTTTTCCCGGATAGAATTAATATCTATATACACATATAATCGGTGTTTGTGCGTATAAATCTTTGCTGTTTTCTCTTTAATGCTTCTACATAGGGGTTATAGGGAGAGAAAGAAATGGGTAGAGAGAGGCCGCAGGGTTTACTTGGAGAAATTGGAAAGGGAAACAGCTAAAATGAGAGAGGGAGAGAGTAGAAATGGGAGAAGGCCTACGTTCCTAGTGGTATCCATATGGCTATTTTTTAACGGTTTTGCTACCGGTACATCAAGGTGTACATAGGCGTGTATATCACATTCACATGCGGGTGGGATCCCCTCGAATAAAAAAATATTTTATACCCATGGGTCCTACCCCCACGTGAGTGTGATGTACATCATTATGTACAATTCTTGATGTACAAGTAACATTTTTGATTTTTTAATGGGTAATTAGCAGAAATGGTCCACAACGTTACACTCTTTGCTAAAATGGTCCCTATCGTTTTAAAATTGGCATTTGTACCCTTATTTCA